TTGTGTGAATCAAAACAGACGCTTCCAGTAGGCCTAAATTATTATGACGACTACCGTCATTTCCATAATGTTTTCCATCCAAAATTCTTGAGGTAAACAACATATCTTAGTGTACTGATGGTTTTCACTGATTAAATATAGCAAACATTCTATTTTATAATTACGATAATGACTGTGTAGGCTTAAATTAACTATACTTACTAAATTATATCAATAAATGTTTCTTTACCTTACAGCATGAAAATAACAATTATAATAAAGTCTTAGATAATTTCTTGTAAAAAAAATTCAAAATTCTTGGGGTTTAAATTAACGATGACAATTTACGCACAGCAGGATCATGTTTTTGACGTCGAATTTTTCTGATTTTTAATAAGTTGTTTAAGTATATATTTACTTGAATTTCAGAAAGAAATTCTGACAGCCTGAAGTCAGCAAGCCGTAACTTTATGTCCACTTGGACACGGGTTAAATTTTGCTCCTTAAAAGGAGCTTGGGGGATGAAAGCTACGCAGATTGAGCTACAGGATTCAACCTTCAACAATCGGAGTTGTATTTGTAAATAATATCCACTAATTAAAATTGCATTCTTTGCAGTTTCATCAAATGTGTTCGACATGCAGTCAATTGGGCCCTTGAAAATGACATTCTTTATGTGGTTAATGGGTGAAGCGTTGTGCGACCACGTACTGCAAAATGACAACATCCAGAAACTGATCCATTCTAAAGATCTTCATTTCGATCTTGTGATCGTTGAAGTCTTTATTAACGAATGCGTCTTAGGATTCGCTCATAAATTTAACGCTCCCATTATACAAGTCTGCACATACGGAGGAGGAAATTTCATGGCTGACTGGGTCGGAAGTCCTAATCCTTACTCTTACGTTCCCGATGAGTTCCTTCCTTACGAAGATAAGATGAATTTCTGGGAAAGAATGTACAATACAGTCGTTGGTACACTGAGACACGTCGGAAGGCAGCTGATCCACGTGCCGAAACAAAATGCCGTGATGCAGAAATATTTCAACTATACAGACAAATTTCCACCCGTGTGGGAGCTGGAATACAGAACGTCCTTGGTCCTTCTCAACTCACACTTCAGTCTCAGCTACCCGAAGCCTCTCTCTCCAAACTACGTGCAGGTTGGCGGAATGCACGTGAAACCTCCGAAGAAGCTTCCACAGGTGAGAAACGTGAAGCCAATAATTCTTGTTCCCAGTTAAGTCAAAATATGATGGTCCTTTTTCAGTGCGTTATTTCGTGTACCGCAAAATGATAACATTTTAGGAGAATAATTCATCGAAAGATCACCGAAGAAAACGACCACGGATTCTTCGGTGGTACAGCCTCGACTTAGGAAAGCCAGAGTCATTGCATCTGGCCTGCGTTGCCGGGGTCACGACCTCTTCGATTACGTAGCAAGAATGATAATTTGCTGAGGAATCAACCATGAATTTCGGCTATCTATAGATTAGAGTCTGCTGATATCACTTAACGAAAATTAAGATGGCATATGGGCCCATATTAAGAGAAATTATTTTGATGTTATTGTTCTAACTGATTCGTGGTATAAGCTACATTTTGGTACCGTTAAAACGTATGGGACAAATGTCAGTGTTAATATGTGCGAGGAAATTGTGTGACGATCAAAAACATGCAAGAATTATATGTAATTGGTCATGTGATTTTCAAATTAAATTAAGATCATAGACATTCTCAAACTAGTGAATTTCTTTTATGCCAGGAATTGCAGAAATATCTTGACGAAGCTCCACATGGAGTGATCTACTTCAGCATGGGCTCAACCCTGCAAAGCTCGGAACTGCCTGAATCAATAAGAAAAGCTTTCCTTGAAGCGTTCTCCAAGTTTAAACAACGGGTGTTATGGAAATGGGAGACGGACTCGTTGCCAGGGCAACCAAAAAACGTAAGGCTCGGGAAGTGGCTGCCTCAATCCGACATTCTTGGTGAGCGCTCGTATATTGGCAAATTCTGTACGTAAAAAAAGTAAATTGTCCCACTAACGCCATGTAGGCGCATTGGGGGAGTGGAGGTATAGCTCCTACTCTGTACGTAGATAAGAAATTTTTTGAAGATAATATAAATTCCATCGGATGTGATTAAGTAACTTCTGTTTCCATTATGATATAAGTACCTTTGACGATTATTTACTTTATTGTAGTATAAAAGTTTTCTTGTTATTAACGCAAAATACCACTTCAGGATATGGTCTGTTTACGTCAAAGAAAGTAACATAATTGTTTGGTAATAAGCGATGGACCCAAATATGCTGTTTGAATAGCTAGTCTTCTGGATAAGAAAGAGTTGCATGCAATTTGTGTGCAGTATTATAACCAGATAGACAATACTCATATGCTCAGGTAGACACGGTAGAATCAAAGTATGCAAAACGTTTTCTTGATACTTCCCGTTGGAATTGATAGGAGCGTGTGTTTAATGCAGCTCATCCCAACGTCCGACTCTTCATCACTCATGGCGGACTGCTGAGCATGCAGGAAGCCATCTACAGGGGAGTTCCTCTGCTTGGGATTCCGATATTCGGCGATCAGGGTCTGAATATGGGCAGGGCCGTGTCAGCAGGATACGGGCTCAAGATTGACTTCGTAAACGTCACTACAGAGTCCTTGACGTGGGCTATCAGAGAAATCATCGAAACTCCAACGTACGTTCTGACGTTTCTTCACTTTTTACTTTCTTTTCTTCTTCTCCTTCTTCTTCTTCTTCTTCTTCTCCCTTACCAGTGGTGAACCCAGCGACTATAGGTGAAATTTTCTGATTGTATCAATTTCCTTGTGTGCGATTGTTCGACGATTCTAGCACGTCAGCATTTTTCTGAGATCTATTGAATGCATTCCTGATATTCTTTTCAGGTATTTCTGGAATTCTTTACTTTCATTTTTCTTGGCCTCATAAAGCACTGGCTGTTCCACTTTCGCAGAATTTCTCTACTTGCATTTTGGTATTTTAATTTCTTTTCGGTCTTTTTCTATATTAAATTCCTACCCGATTGTACTGTTGCATCCGTAGTGAAGCAGATATCATCTTTCTTTGTATTATCTTGTGTCTCTCCTGTGTACCAGAATTTCTCCGTTTGCTTGTACTTCTTTATTCCACATTACTTTTATAACTTCCTGTTTACAAACTCGCTTAAGTATGTCTCTTGTTTCATTCCAAATTTCTTACATACTGAGTAATGCAGATTTTTATGGACTTCGTCGTATCTTAATATCTTTGCCAGAATTTGCATCCTGACACAAAGTGGTGAATAGTTTCTTCATATCGGAAACATTTATTTTACATTGTTTCTTTTTTAATACCTCCAGACTTAATCCATAGGTAGGACTTCCTTATTCACCTGGTTCTTGTCTAAGCTACTTGGAGGTTGTCCATGCACTCACGTTCT